CAATACACTATAACTTTCTCTTGTTGTTGTTGTCGTTGCTGTTATTTTACAATTCCAAGTAAATAAAACAATTGCAATTCTCCGCTCATGCCAACAACGAAGAAAAAAGTAAACGATAGAAACACAAGTCATTCTCATTGTAGACTTGATGACTCTGCCATACTGCAGTAGGCTCGGGCTCATATTTCTTGTTGTCGCTGTTCTGGTTGAATTTCAAGTAGTGGCGAATGGTTTGATTTTGCTGCGATAGTAGAAAAATGCTTTATGGTTTGTGTCAATGTGCAAACTACTTTGTTCGTCTGCGTATGCTTTCTAGGAATTATCTACCAAAAGTTGGACTTTATTTTCAGAGTCAAACCAAAACTCTAGTCGGAAACGACTGCATCAATATTTGCGCTCGTGTAATATTGTAGAAGCTCAACCCATCCTTCATGAATGTCTTTCAGAGCTACTTTGTATACTATCCAAACGCAAGCTGTTTGTACAAAATGTGAAGTTTCCTTTTCACTTTTTGACAGCTACAACTACCACTACTTTCAAAAGCATGACTTTCCGTGTGTTGGAAAAAAAAACAGATCAGCAGCACTCTTGACAAGGCAAATACTTGTTTCCCATTCACACCGTGCTACTATTGTTACCCTCCCATTCAACTATACAAGGACCAAAGACGATTTGCAATAGATGCCTTTCAGAAACACCATCAATACTAGTTCCAACTTTATCACTCTTACGACTTAAATATCCTCTTAGACATATTTCACCCTCGGTAAAACCAGTAATTCATAAAAACAAAGGCGTTTTTCGAAAACGGACGAGTAACTACAATCGCCATCGTCACAACTTTTTACCCAGGTGAACACAACCAAGATTTTCAACAGTTTCCTTTTGCTTGCTTTATTTCATGGTTCCCAGCAAGGTGAGTATATTTTGAACTGAAAACTTTTCCCTTGCTTTCAAAATACAAGTTTATTCAGCTTTCGTTATCTAAAGCCCCACATCCATAATATTTCAAAAGACATATTCGAATCAATAGAGAATTGATCTAAAAGCACAACAATACAAACAATCATTAAAAATATGCAATGATGGACTCAAGACTTTCCTATGCTATCCTGAGAAATGCCTGTTGCAGAGTTACAGACCGAATTCTCCATCGTGAAAAGAGTCATATAGAAGACAAGGAAAACTAGTATACGGAATATAATTCTGTGTA